TCACCACCAGAAAACAGAATCCATGCTCCTACCACCAATTTATCTCAAGGGTCAGAGGTTTACTCTGCAAAGGTCCCGAAGTAAACATTTTCAGCCCTGTGGGTTAATTTCCTTTGCCATCTGCTCAAGTCTCCTGATGTAGGCAAAAGTAGCCAGTTACCATGCATACAATTAGGCACGGTTGTGGTCTTTAGCATCCTTACTTGCAAAAAACATGTGACAGGCTAGATTTGGTCCACAGGCCTTAGTTCTATCTTTGATCTGTGCCACCAAGCTACATAAATGAGCCAGCTGAGGTGACATACACCTCTAATCTCACACTTGGGAGGCTGAAGGAAGGGTACTAAAGCAAGTCCCAGGCCAGCATGGATGACACAATGAGTCCAAGCACAGCCTGGACCACAAACGCATATTGTCTCAACCTCCACTAACCCCAAACAAACAAACAACAGCAACAATAATAAAACTGCAAAAAGGTTTCACATCAAGTTGTTAAGTAACTTTAGTCCTAATGTGGTGGTTATAAGAACTATAAAGAATGTACTGTTTTTACTAGTTTATAAATTACAGTAGTTAGAGTGATGTAAGTTATGGGAGACTCTAATGTTGGTGCAACATTTTCAACAACTAAAATAACAAAGAAGTATTATTCATTAAGTATTATACTTTAAAGTCTTATTTCTAACATTGAATGTGTATTGTTAAGGGTCAGAATCCCAAGCTAAACAATGGTTACATCATGCAATGAAACTAAAAATGCCATCTCCATAAGGATAAGACAAAAATCACTGCAACCCCATACCAAGGTATTAATGTGCTTCAATCACATCGTTTGTTCAAGTCTGAACATGTGGTCACCTTTAAGATCTTAGCTATGTGACTGGCTCCTTGCCACGTCAGGTTACATCCTGTGAAGTTGACAGTCTTGAGAGTGACAGAGTTCTTTATGCCTTGACAAATAACTGAAAGAAAGAAAAAAGGCACAGTAAAACCAAGTGCCTGTCAATGTGGTCAGTCTTGGTGTCTTCACTGTCTCAGTCTGTGTTAGCTTAGAAATGTGCCTAAAATCATGCGCTACAACCCTCTAGGCCACTAAGAGATGTGCTGCAACTTGTCAGTAACAAAATACTGTTTTAGATTACAACAAAGTCATAATTCTACTAACTTGCCAAAACTGAATACTTTAAATATTGCCTATTGATAAATGGACATTACAATTGCATTATAAAGCTGGATTCAGTGGCACATGCCTTTAATCCTAGCACTCAGGAGGCAAAAGCAGGCAGATGTCTGTGAATTCCAGGACAGCCAGAGCTACATAGTGAGACCCTGTCTGAAACAAAACAAAATTGTATTATAGCTGTTTTATTTGGAGATGTCAATGACTTATAGTTCTCTTTATATCCTATTACGGTCCTTCTCACAAATCTTTCTTTTTTTTTTTTTTTTTTTGAGACAAGGTTTTTCTGTGTAGCCCCAACTAGCCTAGAACTCACACAGATCTGCCTCTGCCTCCCTGGTGCTGGGGTAAAAGGTATGCACCAGTACACTCAGCTCCCACAAATATTTCTTAAAGGAAAACCATAAACTATGAGCAAACACTATGGAACTATTTTATGGCGCATCACAACCTTAAATAGAGCTCAGACAGTACTAAGCATAAGCTTTCCCGGTAGAACGGACAGCATCTGAGCAGCCACAGGAAGGAGGCAGTTCACGGGGAAGCAGCAGCCCAAAAAGGTAGACAGAGTCACCACAACACACAGACAAACATGAAACCATCCCCACAGGACTCACTTTCTAAACCGTCATCTCCAATTGGACAATTCGCAAGAGACAGGTGCACCAAAGAGGCCGATTTACTCAATCCCTTAGTAGGGGAAAAAAGTAAATTATGTATTGAGTATTTTCCCACCAAAACCAGCCATCAAATGTCTGCAGGTCACATGAACAAGGCTTACCTTTGTTAGACTTGTCAAATCTCTCTCTCTCAGAATCAGCCCATTTAGCTCCAGATTTCTTAGCACAGTTGATGCACTTAAACAGCCTTTAAGAGCCTTACATAACTGGAAGCTCACGTCTTTGGATCTCACTGCTGGAACTCGATTTCTGCAAACTCTGTGTGTATCAGAACCTAAGGCAAATTCATTATAAAGTCAGCAATGTCAATCAAACACTTTCAGTATTAAACTCCTCAGTGCTAAGGCACAGAAATGAACCATGTCCTTAAAAAAAAAAAAAATTACAAAGCCACATGAGATACAGAAACACAAATCAAGTACGGCATGGTTTCTTATGGAGGCAAGGAAGTTGCACCAAAGAATGGCTTCAAAAAAAACCCTCTGCATGCAGAGAAAGAGGGAGTGGGCGTGGACTGTGCAAAGGGATCCAAGCCTGGCACCTGCTGGACAGTATAAATACTGCAGGTGTGAGGGCTAGACCCCTCAGGATAGAAAAGTGAGAGAAATCCAGAAGCTGAGGCAAGTCTGTAAGAGTTGGCTTTTTTAACACAAGTGATGAGGACCAAAGCTACCACTGGTACAATGAGGACAATTAGAAAAACATGCCCCACTGTTGGGCCAGTTAGAGAAAGGGAATGAACAGAGACAGCCGCCTGAATCACAGATTAGGAAAAGCATTCCTTCCAGCCTGGTTAATGTGCAGCTCATTTTCCAGCACCTTGGTAATGGAGGCAAACACTGTAGCTAAGCGAGACTGTTTACACAGAGGGGAATTAGTGCTAGTTCTGTGCTAAGTGAGACCATCTACACAGAGGGAGCAGCAGAGACAGCCAGCAGCTTCTTCAACACCACAGGCAAAACACTGAGAGAAAAACAAGTGGCAGCTAGGAGGTTAAACTCTACCATCCAGATCTACGGAATACATGGAAATGCTATGTCTGAAGAGAAATGGTCCACAGTCTTCTTGTATTCAACATAAAATACTAGGCAAGATAGGGTACGTTTGCCTTGATTCTAAGGTACCTTTCATCTTTCCTTTAATCAGGTCATTACTATGGCAGCCCAGGGATTCTTCAGAAGTACAAAATACTGTCCTTGAAGAAGCGATGATAGACGGTACTCTACTCAGACCTAGCAAAGGGCCAGGCTTTCAAATACTCAACCCTGTCCCCTGGCTTATCACATCTTCCCCTAGGTTGGTAACTTGCAGACACTTGACATGTGAAACAAGCTTTAAACCTAAGAATTCACGACAGGCTTGTTTCAATGGCTCTTCATCTGTGTGTGTAGGTTCAAAATATAAGATTCAACCTCTGGATTGTATTTTCCTTAGGTGATACCACTCTTTAAAAAGGAAGAGAGCAAGAAAGCAAGCAAGAGAATTAGGCTCTGAGATGGCCAAACTGACAAAGGTGCTTGCAGGATCCAAATTTGGATCCTCAGCAAGATAAACACCTAAACTCTCCGGGAAGCAACAAGAGATGATCCCTGGGGCAAACCAGTTAGGCAGACAGTGGAATCAGAAAGTCCCAGGGGTTCCTCCTGCTTGAGGAAACAGACTGCAAAGCAATAGAGGAAGACACTCAGCATCAACCTCCATCTAGCCTCCATACACATGAGAACATGTGCCCACACATGCAAATGTGCACATAAACACACAATTAATTGCAAATCTTAAAAATAAAAGAGGAAGTGAAAATTCGGTTAGATGCTGGAAGGATGGCTCAGTTAAGGGCATCTGCTGCACAACCTTGAGGTCTGGAGTTCCAGATCCCAGGCCCCACATAAACTAGGCCTCAGGAGCAGGACTTTTTACTCCAGCATGCAAGGAGGGGGAGTCAAAAGGACAGCTGGAGCTTGCTGGCTTCCAGCCAAGCTGAGAAACCAGAGCTTCAGGTTCAAGAGAGACCCTGTCTCAAAATAATGGGTGGAGAGCGATCAGAGGCCACCTAACACCCTCTATGGGTTTCTGTATGTACATGTGCCAACAGTAAGATACATAAAACCACATACACACACAAATCAGTAAGGAACATACATATTCGATGATAAAATTTTTGGTTGCTGGGCAGGTGTTCATGAATGACCACAGAAGCACCACAAAGGCTTCGCTTGGGAAGCTATAAACTCGTTATCTGCACATAACCTGAAGCAACTATTTACAAAGAGCTGTTAATAGTCCCTTGGTCTGGAGAGATAAACTTTTTTTTTTTTCCTATTCTTAACCCCCTCCTTTTCTGTATTAATCTTGCAATTAAGAATGAGGGGAGACTGTAAATTTAGAGCCCTAAAGAGAAGAGGGCAGAGGCAAAAGCATTAACGGGTGAAATCATTAGCTAAATTATCCTGCATATTCCCCCTCCCCCCGGGGAGCATAGCTGGCCATCCTCGCTGTGATAAGGAGCAATCTCGAGCCCTACTCCCTATCTTGACGACTCCTCCAGACCACCGCCCGAGGCGGCAACCTGCAAGGCAGACGGCGGCAAATAGTCCCTTTGTGGCTGGGTGAGGCCGCTCAGCAGGCTGCACCGGGCTCCCTCCTCTCCGACCGAACCCTCACACCTCCCGGCCGCAGACCTGTCTCCCCGAGCCACGGCTGGAAGGAGCTCTTGATGGCCACCAGCGGCAGGTCGCGGTTCACCCTGAGCGTGCTGAGCAGCGGCGCCCAGTCCACCGCGCGCAGCCGGTCGGCGTTGAAGTCCAGCACGCCATCCCGCAGGCAGGCGCGCACGGCGGGCAGCGGCACCGAGTCCTGCAGCGCGCACAGGTACTCGTAGTGCGAGAAGAAGTCGGCCGCGCAGTCGCGCCGGAGCTTCACAGAGTCGATCATGACCGGCAGCCCGGGGACCTCCACCAGCCTCCCCGCGCCGCCTCCCGCCGCGCCCCGGGCGGTTGGCGCCTGCACCGCCCGCCTTGCGCGCCGCTGCCGTTCCAGCCGCCGGAGAGCTCCCGCGGGCGGCGTGCGCACACCGCGCCGTGCGTCGGCGCGCTCGCTGTGCGTCACAGCGCAGGCCACGCCCGCCCGGCTGCGCCCTGGCCCGCGCGCCGACAGCCGAAGATGCTGGGATGAGTTCTAAGTCACTGATGGATTACCGCGGTTGAGGTTCGGTGGAGTGATGCATCTGAGAACGGGGGCTTGGCCTCGAGAAGATTCTTAGGTGCACTCAATTGCTTGTGCTTCCTCACCGAGAGAATTCACAAGAGAAAATGTCCAACTCCGTTTGCAAACCAGGAGGCTTCCGTGGTTTCCTCTCGACTTTGGGTTAGACAAAGCTAAGATTTTAGTTAGTTACTTTCCTTTCCCTTTTTCTTTACCTTTCTTTCTTTTCTTTCTTCCTTCCTCTCTCTTTCTCTTGCTCTCTCTCTTTCGTGAGACAGTGTTTCTGTGTAACAGCCCTGGCTGTCCTAGAACTCACTTTGTTTATTAGGCTGGCCTCGAACTCTCTTCCGCGTTAGTTTTGTAAATGTGTTTCAGGGCAATTCCTGTATCACCGAGAGACCATTAAAAGATTTTAGTACAGTCAGTAGTGCAGCATAATAGCTATTGAAAGTAAACTTAGGATTCACTCAGCCGTGGTTAAGTTCAGAGTTGTATGCCTAGGCGTTGTCGTGTTATTTAATTATACCTTAAAATGCACTGCTTTCGGGCGGAAACAAAGTAAACGCTGGGTAATAGCAGTCTGTTTCTGTCCTTTGAAGGAATTATTTATTGGTATGTGCCTGGGAGGCCAGGAGAAGGCGTCAGATCCTCTGGAGCTGGTGTTACACGTGGTGGTGGTCTGTCCAGTGTGGGCACTGGGAACCAGACTCGGAGCCTCTGAAAGAAAAGCTGTCCCTCCGGCCCCCATTTCAGTTACTTTTAAAAAGCGATTTGTTTTTATTTTATTCAGTATGTGTGTATGTCTGTGTGAATGTATGCTATGTGTGGGGAGGCCAGAAGAGGGCGTCAGATCCTCTGGAGCTGGGTTACAGGTAGTTGGGAGTTGGCTAACATAGGTGCTAGGAATGGAATCCGGGTCCTCTGAAAGAGCAGTAGGTGCTCTTAAGTGCTAAGCCACTTCTCTGAGATACTTCTCTTAAAACAAATTAAAAATTCCTGAGGTGTAAGTTTGATTTGCTGCTTATAGGGCATACTATACTCAAGACATGGTATGAACAACTGGCTAAATGTCCACAATTATCTGTGAAGTCTTTTGTGTTCATGTTCATTTCTTTTAAAACTCAGTTTTGTAGTTTTCAGTCTGTCTGTCGTTTGCAAATTGATGTTCCATAAATGCAGAACTTCATTTTGGCCTTTGTTCTTTTTGCATGAATGATTAAGATTGTGGCTAATACCAGCAACTAGTACTTTTTATCTCTGTGGCATTGTTTCATGCATTGTTTATTTTATTTCTGATACAGTGTCTTGGCATGTAGCCTAGCCGCGTCTGGATTTTGTCATCTTCTTTCAGCTTCTGAGTTAGGCTTATAGGATGGCACCACTACACTGGGTTAATCTGTTTAAACATAGAGGGTTCTACTTTCCACATGAGAAGTAAACTGTTATGTATCTGCTTTACAGAGGTGCAGAGTGAAAAATTGTGAAGTTAGCATAAATCCTGAGAACTGCCTTCGTGTCCTGTATTTGTTTCCAGCCTCTAGAACAATGACAATCCCCAGTCAAGCTTTAGACACTATGTTCCTAACATAAATTTCCCACTAGCTGAGTTCTACAACTTTTTACCAACACCGTGAATGCCTCCCAGGCACTCACTCCACTAAAACCCCCTAGCTATGGCCAATGACTTTTTTTTTGTACAATATTTAAATCAAGATAGATAGTGACTTCATTTATCCACCAACTAGCTTGGGAGGAAGCTTCACGTGTCTGTGGGGAAGCCCCGTGGAACCATTCTTCCCATCACAACCGCAGTCTTCTCCAACACTGAGACAACTGTCTCTGAGCTTGCGGTGCCTCCCTGCAGTGCATGTGTTAACATTTCTGCTATTTATACATGACCTATCAAATTTTCTCCTTGTTACTGTTCTCTGTGCTACATCGGTGTCAACACATGGGCTCTACTTCGTTTCCCTCACTGTGATAAAACACGGACCAAAATCAGCTTAGGGGAAGAAGGTCTTTTGTTTTGTTTTTTTCAACTTACTGTCCCTTGATGAGAGAAGGGAGGTCAGAGACTATGAAGGAACACTGTGTATTGGCTTGTTCTCAGTCAGCTCCCACTTCTGTTTGGAGTTTTGTGGTTTGTTCCTTTGTTTTGTGGTTTGTTTGTTTTTCTGTATCATCAATCAAGAAAATCCAGCACCGGCTTACCACATGCCATTTGGTGGGGGCATTTTCTCAATTGAGATTCTCTCTTCCCAATCACTCCAGATCGTGTCAAGTGGACATAAAACTAGCCGATGAACTAGCTAGCCTACCTCTCTGTTGAAACACGTTGTTGCTTATCTCTGACTTTCAGCTTCTAGACGCCTCCACTGAGTTATGATCGTTTTGTCAAAATACCGAATGTCATTGAATCAGTCGCAGAGGGTCGCCCTGGACTGGACTGTGGGCACTCTTATATTAGCTGGCACATGGTTTCTTTTCTTTTTCTCTCTGTATCGCCTTGGCTGTATTGGATTCGCTTTGTAGAGTAGGCTAGCCTTGAACTCACAGAGACCCGTCTGCCTCTGCCTCCCTGGGTGCTGGGATTACAGGTGTACTCCACAGCTGGCAATTGGTCACATTTCTTATTGCTGCCATCTTCCTTATGACTGTTCACAACAGTCACCCCAAACCTCCATCCACTCTTCAAATTATGCGCCATTGCACATCTCAGCAGATCACCCCAAGAGGACAGTTCTTGTTCTGACAGGTTTCTTGTCTTTTTTTTCCTTCTAACTGTTGTTACCCTTCCATCTGTGCTTCACGGTGCCTCTGCCACCTTCCTCTAATCTGCTGCGACTTCCCATTGCCCTTAGGAAACTCACGGGTCTTCACTGTGGGGTCCACACACGGGCTGCTGCTTGAGAGCTGTCTGTGTTCTCATGAGACAAGGAACAGAGGGCAGATCACACCCCTGGCATACATACAGTTCAGTCCTACAGACACTGTTTCTCAGAACAAAACTTTCTTGATAGTAGAAGCAGTGGTTACAGCCTGGAAAAGCTGGCTTTGTGCACAGGCCTGTGTGGAAGCCCTGTGTACCACGCGCTACATCTCCTGGACAGGGTGAACCCCAATAGCCCAGCCCACAGGGATATCCGGGGAGACTCTTACAGTAGCGTATTGTCACTCTCTGTGTAATATGACTGACTTCAATATTCCCCTAATGAACACCTCATCTTTCTCATCTCAGCCCTTGTGTCATTTTAACAAGCAAGTATTTCCTCCATCCCTGATTCATCATAGCCTTTCATAGCAACCTGTACCTCTTCTGTCTGATTGTCACCCTGTTCCACACGTGTTTAAGGTAAATAATTACCATTATGGTCCACGAAGAAGGGAATCACATCTATTCTAGTCACTCTTGAATCCCCAGCAATTAGTACAGTTTCTGACAATATCTATTAAATGAATTAGTATGTCCAGTTAATAACCCAAGCTCAACAAGTTAAGGGCATCTCCCTTGCTTTTCCCATCTCCTTGTATCACCAGCACTTAAGTTGCACCATTTATTCTATACTGGATTGCAAGGGCTGCTTCAAATGGCAGCATGTCGTCCCTATACCCAGGCTCTCCTTATCCTTGACCTTTCAAACACTTATTCTCAATAGAATATCTGTTTATACTTTTTGTTTTGTTGAGTAGAAGTCTTATTGCATCATCAATATTATCCCAAAATGTTCTTATTATCTGGGATCTTGTTTCTGTAATAACTTAAGATTTTTTTTTTTTTGAAACAGAATCCCTCTATATAGCTCTAGCTGTTCTGGAAATCACCATGTAGACCAGGCCAGCCTTAAAGTCACACAGAGATGGAGAGAGAGTGCTGGGTTTAAAGGTGTGTGCCAATGATAATTTAGGACTGATTCTACAGTCTACTGCCCTCTTCCTTTAAAAATAAAATAGATATCCAAGAATTGCTTGATATCTTTGTTTTATTCTAAACTAACAACAACAACAAACTGTTGTGGCTTGCTAAATCAAAGTAGCTGAATTTAAAACAAATTCAATATCATTTCCTTCAAGAATTAACTTATCTTTCTGGTACTGAACAAGGTACTGATTCTGCCATCAGAATCCTGAAGATGAATTTTTTACCCAAGTCATTTCAGCTTTCAACAAGCAACCATTTTCTTAAACGTCATGTTGATGGGATGGTAAACACAAACAGGCTGCATCTCATACCAGAGTCCAGTATCACTCCCTTAAGTTTGTCCTGTACCTGATGACAGATTGCTGAAGGATTATTAATATTAAATATTGATTTATATTTTAGTAAAGTATAGTTACTCCCTAACAAGCCATATACCCAAATAACCACACAGAGAGACTAGGATTTATTTAATTAGTCTAGAGCACAATGCTGCACAGTAATTACTCCATCCTAAACTTCCAAGCCAGCATAGCTTCTTTCTATTCAGATTTCTCACATTATACTTGCTTTTTAATCATGTCCTAGGTCCAGCTCATTGATCACTTCTGAAGTTTCCTGGTCCTCTCCTTATCAATTCTCCATTTCTTCTCTGCTCCCCTCACTGGACCAGGATGTCCCACCCTATTCTCTCCATTGCTCAGAATTGGCTAGTTGGCTTTTATTGGCAATACAGAGAACAAATGGTGGCATGTTTACGCAATCTTGAGATAGAAGATGCTTAGAATAAACATCACAATGGAATGTCTGGATTGAAACCAGATAGTGTGGGTAGAGAAATCAGCATTTGAATGAATGACAGGGGTCAACTGTACACAGTCCACAAGAACATTATGCCCACAACAGCTGATGCAAAGAAGGGCCAGTTCCTTCCCAGTTCACCACCATGTGTCAAGCCGGAGATGTTTTTCAGAGAGGCCTGAGCTCTATGTTGATGTAACTAATGCCCCCCCTTCCCCGAGTTTGAAACAGCTATATGTCACTGTCACATTGACTATGCAGTCAGGAAGTTCTGGGGCCCTTCAGAGTAATGTCAACATTTCTAGAAAGTTGATAGACTTCTTGCCAAGAACATTTTCTCAAAGTAGATGTGCTGGGGCGCAGGGGGATGTTTTAAGGGGGAAAACCTGCTAATACTACTCAGGTTGACATCTAAGAGTCTCCAGGACTGACTTTGATGTGTTGTTGTTGCTGTTTTAATCCCATGGTCTACATGGGTCTTAGTGTCTACATCTTTGTTCTCTTCCAAGTCTGTCTATCATGATACTCGTTATCACCACTTGTATGCCTTTTTTCTCTGGGAAGACGGAAAGTGCTAAACAGAGGCTGAAGGGAGTCGCTGTTGGTAGACCTGTTTCACAAGAAAGGAAGGAAGTTCCTCAAATGACAGGAGACTGTACCACATACTTGGCTGAGGATTGCTGAGAGCCAGACACCAGGCTTGGGAATAGAGTGCCTGAACTCATCACCCTGGCTGTGCGCACACTCAGTGCTCTCTGGGCTTGCTGTTTCTTCACAGTGCCTGCCGGACCTCAAAAGATTGGTTTTGCATGTGCCAGCGGCTGGACTTGAGCATGTTTTGTTGTTGTTGTTGTTTTTTATAGAGTTGGTACAGCCCACAGCAGAAAAGTTGAATGATTTCTAAAGGTTCATTCAAAGCAGACAGTCCAGCTTCTGCCTGCATCTCTTCTTGGGGGGTGCTCACCTTTGGAAACCAACCACCATTTTGTGAGGGAAGAGATCACATAAAAGTTTCAGCTGGGGTTGAGATGTAACTCAGCTGTGGAGTACGTGTCTAGCAGGCCTAGAGCAGCATAATACAACAAAAGAACCCAAAAAACCAGAAAACAGCTGATAGCTACAGCTCAGGTCTCCGTCCACAGCTAGTCATAGCAGTGCGCAGGCCTTGGAGTTGATGCCAGGAGGATGGGAGAACCTGCAGCAGGATGGAAAAGGAAGAATTAGGACATGAGGGACAAGTGCTGAAGGAAGAAGGACGCTCTGTTCCTGGGGCCTGATCTGCTTTTACTACTAAGAAAGGCAGGAGACAACAGGCTCCACTGATGAGGACCCAGTGGCCACAGAGACTGTTTTCTACAAGGTATTTTGTCAAAGACAATAGAGTTGTCTCACCTGGGGCCAGGTGAGGCATTCCCAAAGACACCTCAATCATGTCAAAGGCAGTAACGAGGCTGTGCTTACTTATAGCCACATAATATCTGACTGTTGTGAGTGCATGAGGTCAGAACATAGGTGAAAAGTGAACATGCTTGTGCCTTCCCACAGTGTCAGAGTTTATTGAGTAACAATAAGTTCACAAGGTTTCAAGCCCAGAATCTTGCTTTTCTTTGTAATCTAGTTGAGGTGAACACAGGTACTTTTAATATAATATTAATCTTTAGTTATTGACTCGTCACACTGTAAATAACTTGGTGTCTCTGTCTCTCTCTGTATATTGCAGAATGGGTACAAAGGATTAAGGAGGCTGCAGCAGCGTTTCAAGAGGTTTCAGAAGTAAACAGGTAAAGGTGTAAACAGAGTCCATATTGATAGAGTAAGGAAACCAAACCAGCCACCTGGAAGAAACTGCTGCTATCAGGTCTCTGTGGATCACAGATTTGAGAGTAAAGCTGGGTGAGTTGAGTCCAGCTGCAGAGACAAAAGAGCAGGACCAGGTCCAGCAAAATGAATCGGCAGACAGACGGGGTGAGGTCTGGAAAGGTGAACACAAGCATAGACAGCATCAAGACTAGTTTAGCTGAAGTCTCCAGGACGGCTGGGAGTCGGCCGTTTATACACGCACTGATGTCGGCTGACAGGTCATGCAGGGCATTGCCATCTCAGCCTTAGAGGCTCATCTTCGGGGGTCCAGGCGAGGCAGGTGCAGATTCCACAGCCTACACCTGCCTCTCCCCATCCCCAAGATGATTGAAGTATGTCCAGGCTCTTTCGTTCTTGGTAACTTGACATAAACTAGAGTAACCTGGGAAGAGGGAACCTCTCCTGAGAAATTGACTCCATCTGATTAGCCTGTAGGCAAGCCTGTGAGGCGTTTTCTTGCCTAATGATTGATGGAGGTGGGGAGCCCGTGGTGGGTGGTGCCATGCCTAGGTAGGAGGTTTTCCGGGTTGTATAAAACCAAAAACCACCAAACTGACAAGCCATGAAAAGCAAGGCAGTAATCGGTGTTCCTCTCTGCTTCAGGGCTTGCCCTGCTTGAGTTCCCACCCCAGCTTCCCTCAGTGATGGACTGTGATTGGGATGCGGAAGCCAAGTAAATGCTTCCCTCCCCAGGTTGTTTTTATTGTCTTTAGATGCAATAAAAAGCAAGCTAGGACAATTCCCATATATCCGTATAGTCTTAATTCACCTAAGCAAAATTTTAGGATGGCATCTTTTTTACTCCCAGGAATACATACTTTATCAGTTCTCTGCATGGGTGCTGTGTCAGAGAGGTGGTCCTTTGTCCTCAAAATCGTATCAAAAGCTGCTTGTAAAATGGAGTTCCTGAAGGCAAGGCACAGCCTGTAAAACCACTGCTCTACACAGTATAGAGTAACTTAGAGCAGGAACTGGCCTGATGCAAGCATTACCATTTTAGAGATGGAAATGATTGGAAAGTTTGAAGAATTTAACCCAGATCGCACAGCTAGTGTTACCCCTAGCTACACTCCTGGATGACTGGCTGGGTTTACAGAGGGTGGAAGAGCCGGGCCACTAGCAAACAAAGGCAGTCACTAAGAATTTCCAGTACCTAGCTACATCTTTACCCAAACTGGTTTGAAGCAGGTAACACACAGTCATCTATCCCATCTGCTTCCTACACTGTCCAGAGAGAAGACAGGGCAAGCCAGAGAAGCCACCAAAAGATCCTGAAAGATCCGTTATTATGAAATGTAAGGCTACCACAAAGGGCTTCAGATGTGTCTAGTAAGGCTGTGAGGACTGAGGAGTGTTCCAGTAATGAAAAGCTGTTACTGCAACCGCCCTAAAGCTTGGGGGATTTAAAAAAAAAAGAAGTAGTTACAATATTTTACTCCCAAGTCTGTTTCTGGGCAGAGATCAGCAGGAGCAGTTGACATCAGTAATAGGGATTCGGCTCCACACCACAGCAGCAGCTGCCTGAGGAGTTCTATTCAGAAACCTCCATCCGGGTAATAAAACTGGGCTTCACGGCTTCAACAAAGAGATGGGTTTCAGAGCCAACCGAATGTGAAGCAGAGCTGGGATTTGGAGAGGTGGGGGGAGGGGGGCGGAGGGAAAGAGGGAGAGAGAGCAAGCAGGTTAGCGAGTACCAATAGGACAGGTGCTTGTGTCTTTACAATGAGTGTGTATATTCTTGTGGCTCTCTAGCTTGATGTCTCTAAACGGTTGCTAAGAAACGAGCTTCCTCCTTTCTAACGTTGCCCAAAGTGTGCAATTCAAAGCAGGGCTAAAGGCTCAGCAAACAGGGCTGTAGTAGATTTATGAGACACACTCTTTGCATTTAGCGAAGAGGAGAATACCAGAAACTCAAGTTTTATTGAGATCAGGCTGTGTTCCCTCTACATTGTTTAAAGCAGTGATTTTTCAAACCATGCCTCACCCCGAGAGAGTCCATTTTACAAGCAGCTTTGACTCCCATTTTGGGACAGAGGATGGCTGTGTGCCAAGGTAGACAGGCAAGCAACGCCATCTGCCAGGCACCACCCAGGCAGCACAGACTGATAAACTTATTCCTGACAGTAGACAGGGTGCCACCTTATAAGCTTAACTGGGTAAACTGAGACTAAAGGGATACGTGGGTGTATTAAAATCACATCAGTGACACCAGACTGTTTATGTAAGTGTGTGAAGCTAAGTGTCTGGTCCATGTCAGAGCCCAGCAAGTATAGGCGACTCTGATTGACAGAAAGTTCAAAACTGTTGTCCCCCCCACCAAAAAAAAAAAGAAAGAAGGTGGTGGAATTTGCAAAACATGTTCCTGCTTAGCAATCAGCTGTACCCTGCTCCTGAGTCCCCATTCCTTGGCATCTAGCAGGAATAAAACAAATAAATATTTATATAGGAATCATTGTTGCCTCAGCTCACAAAGCTTATGTACTAAAAGAGGTGGCACGCAGCCAAGAGTGATTATGAAGTTGACAAGTTGAAATGAATTTTCATTTTTTAACTAGCCACAGACCCTTTAGAAAACAAAACAAAACATAAGGCAAAAAAAAAAGGTCAGCACCAAATGTTTAAATTTATATCTAAATATTTCTTTCTGATGAAAAAAATATATACCCACACACACTCGTGTGACCAGTGCAGCTGAGACTTTGGTGGGTCTGTTTGAAGTCTACGGAGTTTTCTGGATTGAGGAATACTTAGTTGACCCTTGGGAGCCACGCTTCCGAGTCTTGGTATTTTTAGAGAAGAGATTCTGAGTTCTCTTTACTGGTAGCTTTTACTGAGCTTTGTGCATGCATCAGAAATTCAGACGCCGTATGAATTTTAAAGTAAACATGAACTTTGTCCACAGAGGTTCAACTTGGGTTTGCTGCTTTTAGAGTCAGTGCCTGGTGATAGGAATGACATTTTTATGTCGCTGTACTTCATTACTGTCACTGTTACTGCTTTGTGTGTGTGTGTGTGTGTGTGTGTGTGTGTGTGTGTGTGTGTGTGTGT